GAGGTTGCTGTGAGCTAGGCTGATGCCATGGCACTCTAGCCTGGGCAACAGAGTGAGACTCTGTCTCAAAAAATAAAAAATAAAAAAAATAAAATGGGAATATTCATATAATGAATGTTATTCAGCATTAAAAAAACTAAAATACTGATACATGCTACAACATGGATGAACCTTAAAAACATTATGCCAGCCGGGTGCGGTGGCTCACGCCTGTAATCCTAGCACTCTGGAATTGCTCGAGGTCAGGAGTTCGAAACCAGCCTGAGCAAAAGCGAGACCCCATCTCTACTATCAATAGAAAGAAACTATTGGCCAACTTAATATATATAAAAAAAATTAGCCGGGCATGGTGGCATATGCCTGTAGTCCCAGCTACTCGGGAGGCTGAGGCAGGAGGATCACCTGAGCCCAGGAGTTTGAGGTTGCTGTGAGCCAGGCTGACGCCACGGCACTCACTCTAGCCTGGGCAACAAAGCAAGACTCTGTCTCAAAAAAAACAAAAAAAAAACAAAAAAAAAAAACATTATGCCAAATGAAACAAGCCAATCACAAAAGACCACATATTATATGAAATATCCAGACTAAGCAAACCTACAGAGACAGAAAGTAGGGCTGGGCGTGGTGGCTCATGCCTGTAATCCTAGCACTCTGGGAGGCCAAGGCGGGCCGATTGCTCAAGGTCAGGAGTTTGAAACCAGCCTGAGCAAGAGTGAGACCCCGTCTCTACTATAAATAGAAAGAAATTAATTGGCCAACTAATATATATAGAAAAAATTAGCCGGGCATGGTGGCGCATGCCTGTAGTCCCAGCTACTTGGAAGGTTGAGGCTGAGGCAGAAGGATCGCTTGAACCCAGGAATTTGAGGTTGCTGTGAGCCAGGCTGACGCCACAGCACTCACTCTAGCCTGGACAACAAAGCAAGACTCTGTCTCAAAAAAAAAAAAAAAAAAAGAAAGTAGATTAGTGGTTGCCTAGGACTAGGAGATTTGTAGGGGAAGGGGAGTGGCTGCTAATGGGAACAAGGTTTCTTTTGGGGGTGATGAAAATGTTCTAAAACTTATTGTGGTTACGGCTGTACACTTTTGTGAACGTACTAAAAGCCATTCATTCAGTCATTTTTAGAGACAGGCTCTGTCTCCCAGGCTGGAATGTGGTGGTAGGATCATAGCTCACTGCAGCTCTTGAATTCCTGTGCTCAAGCAATCTTCCTGCCTCAGCCTCCGCAATAGCTAGAACTATAGATGTGAGCCACCACATCTGACTAATTTTAAAATTTTTTGTAGAAATAGGGTTCTCACTTTGTTACTCAGGCTGCTCTCACAGTCCCAGGCTCAAGCGATCCTCTCCCCTCAGCTCCCAAACTGCTGGGATTATAGGCATAAGCCACATGCCCAGCCTATTTGTATACTTTAAATGGGCAAATTATACAGTATGTTAATCATATCTCAATAAAACTGTTATATTTTTTTAGTAAAAGAATAGGAAAAATTGTCCCAAGTCTATATATATCAGACACATTCTTTATTCTGTTCTTTGTTTATATACATATACACCTGGACATAAAAGATACACCTCCAACACATACACAGAATCTTAGAAAGACAGTATTGGAAGGACCTCAGAAGTCAGAAAATTCTACTTTCTCTCCTCCCTTCTCATCTCCCCAGTTTTTCAGATAAGGAATCTGAGGCCAAATGTCACACAGGGATAATGGTACCCACGACTCTCTCTCTCACACACACACACTTGTCATTTTCCTAGAAGACTATAAGCTCTTTGGAAATGATGGTGTCTTATTTTTTTTCTGTATCCTCCATAGTGCACAGAGAGCTATACTACGCATGTAGCAGGCAGTTAAGACACTGGTTTGATTGAACAGAACATGTTTCTCTGAATCCCTGGAGGAAAAAGAAGGTACCTCTAAGAGCAGACAGCCATAGGCATGAGAAAGAACACTGGGTCAAACTAGCCATCTCATCCACACTCCAAGGACAGATTCAACCTCGAAGACTAGAAGGAAAAAGGAAAACATTAATAGAGAACCTTCACTGTGGCGCATGTTCCTAAATACCTAGTCCTTGTTATAGCAGAACTGACTCAGAGAGTGTATCCAAGGTTACCAGGTTGGTGAGTCAGAGGCAGGCCTAGCCTTAGTGTTCTGCATGCCAGACCCCACAGTTCCCCCTGATCTCACCTTCAATCCCATCTGACTACCCAGATCTTGGTTTGGAATGTCTGTGTCTTTTCCTGTCTGCCTCTGCGAAGTTCAAGGTGGTCAGTAAGCCCACGACGTGAGACCCTGTGCCACTCCCTGGTGATGTCCCATTCACAGGGCACAGGGTCAGCTGGCCAAAAAGATCTCAGAAGGCCCAGTCCTGCACTGCAAAAGGAGGGTGGGAGAGGTCAGAGGATTGCAGCAAGAGCAGGTCTACACGGGAAGGATGAACAGGGAGGGCACTTACCTGAGGATGTCAGGGCTGCGCAGGCCAGTCCTTGTGGAGGTCGCGGAGGAAGCTGCCAAGGCAGCCGGAGAGGCCAAGCAGCAGCAGGATCAAGGTGGCACAGACCAGAGGGTGGGGTGGTGGGCCAGACACAGATGAGGTTGTGCCCCGCCTGGAGTCACCCATGAGAAGGAGAGGTGCTGGGCCTCAAGAGAGGCCTGTTGGAGGACAGGGATGAGAACTGACAAGAGCCTGCTGTGTGGAGAAGGCACTCACCGATTTTATGGAAAGGGAAGCTAAAGCTCTGGAAGATAAGGACTTGCCAAGGCCGCACAGTTAGTGGCGAACCAGGACAAGAATCTAAGGCTATTGACTGCAACCAGTTTATCTCCTGCATCATTCATAATGTTTTGTTGCAATTTCATTTCTGAACTAAGCAAGGCAGAAGCAGAGCAGAGCTCTCTATGATGTGGAAAAAGGAACCAAAAGTAGAATTGCTGTGGGAGAAATAGGAAGCTGCTGTTCTGGGCTAGGTAATTAGCTGAAACAGTTCCAGACGGAGCCCAACACGGAAGTGTCTGCTGAAGAACTCAGCTTCAGAGTAAATGGGCTAGGTTGATCCCTCTCTGCTACTCACTGCTATGTAAAACCAAGTCAGGCAACTCTCTGTGGGCTTAAGAATCATGTGAAATGGGAGTTCTAAGAACACAATAATAGGGATTAATGTGCGCGATAAAGCAGTCATGCATGGTATCGCGGTGCAGGAATCACAATGTACCCACTTCCTTTCTCCTCTCTGTTATAATGATCCTCAAACCGATGAGGCAGCCAAAAGCACCGTGGGGGAACTGAGCTCGGACTTTAAACAGGCAGTGGTAGAGCCAGGTCTGAAATCCTCCTCTGCTTCCAAGTGGGGTGTCTCTCCCACGCAAGAAGCGACAGCCTGAGAAAGAGTATCTGGAAGGTGAAGAGATAAACAGAGGTGGGGAAGAAGGGAGCCACAGAGGATGAGGTGTCCACAAGTGCTCAGCCCCTGTCCCGCCTCCCATCCTGCATGCGGAAGCGGGGAGAAAGAGGGGGTAGGGCGAGCCTGAGGGCCACGGTGGTGGAGACCTGAGCCTCCCTCCCCGCCAAGTTCCCCTTCCTGAAAGAATCGCAGCACCCCATCCCGTTCCCGTTAGCGCGTCGGGTCCGCCCGCAGGCTCTCACCGCTCGGAAGCCGGGCGGAGGCCGGCGCCCCCGCGGACGTCACGCGTGGAGCCTCGGAGAAGGGGCGGGTTCCGTGGCTTCCGCTCCCCCCCAGTTACAGCCCCACGGGCGGGGGGTCCGATGCGCAGTGCCACGCGTGCGCCCGCCTGGCGTCTCCGAGGCGGGGTGGGGGTTACCAAAAGGAAATTCCGACTAGGGGACTGAGGGACGAAGTGACTCCGCGGGAAGTGAGGAAACCGGGAGCGAGGGCAAGGCAGCGAATGCTAGAGACGTAGTAGAGTCCGGAAATCTCCTCTTGGAGAGACTGTGGGAGAATATCCAACGGGAGGATCTCGTCGGCAGCATTTTCTCTGTTGCGTCCTCCACCCGCGCCAATAGCATAGCCCAGGCCCGCGCCCAGGTTCCGGGTAAGACTGGGGGGTTTCGCTCAGTGTGGTAGGGGCGCAGCTCAGACTCTGTTCTTCCGGGCTGGACTGGTTGTGGTGGGCCCCAGTCTTCTGTGTACCCCGATAACAGTTAAGTCCTGCCACCTCACGCAGGCCTGTGCCTTTTAGTGACTCCGTAATGGCAGTAGCGATGCCAGCGTTGCAAGGCTGCTCAAGAGACATTCTCATTTCACTTCTGCCCACATTTTAGAGATGACAACATCTTACCTGAAATAGTACGACTGACACATGCAACCAGGAACTCTGGGTTCAAATGCTTGACTCCGTCCGTGGCCCCAGCATAAGCCACGTAACCGTGCTCTCCCGGCTATGTTTACTCCTCGCTAAAGGAGATCGTTCTACCTATCTATCTCACTGGTTGGATTGGAGCTCAAAGAGGCAAGAGTGGTGGGAAACATGGGCCTGGTGCCACTGAGCACACACCAGCACTGGGTGGAATGCTGCTTGAAACGGAGGAAATCTGAGTATTTAATTGACTTTTGGCTTTCCTTAAGGCAGAGACTATCATTTCTGTACCACCATCCGCCAAAAGTTATGGCCCACAAAAACCTCACATTAAATGGTCACGTGATTTTTTATAAGATGCCATGTCATTTAGTGGGGAAAAGGACAGTCTTCTATGTGCATTAAAGGACACTAAGAACAGAGTGAAAAGGCAGCCTACAGAATGGGAAGGAAATTATTTTGAAATCTTACCTCTGATAAAGGGGTTACTATCTAAATATATAAATCTTACAATGAAACAAACAAAAAAACAAGCAATCCAATTAAAAAATGGATAAAGGACTTGAATAAGCCATTTCTTCTAAGAAGATATACTGGTACAAATAACAAAAAGCACATGAAAAAGATGCTTAACATCATTAATCATTAGAAAATGCTAATCAAAACCACAGTGAAATACCACTTGTACCATTAGGATGGGCTGCTATCAAAAAATCCAAAATAGTTTTGATGATGAGTGGAGAAATCAGAAAACCTTGTGCACTGTTGGTTGGGAATATAAATATGGTACAGCTGCTATGGAAAACAGTATGGCAGTTCCTAAAAAAAATAAAAATAGAATTACCATATGATTCAGCAGTTCCACTTTTGGGTGTATACCCAAAAGGATCGAAAGCAGGGGCTTGAAGAGATATTTGGGCACCATGTTCATAGCCAGCATTATTCACAAGAGCCAAAAAAAGGTTGGAAGCAATTCCAAGTGTCTACCAGTGGATGAATAAACAAAATGTGGTATACAAACATAAAAGGGAATATTATTCAGCTTTCAAAGGAAGGAAATTTTAACACTATGTACACCCATAGATGAACCTTGAGGCATTATGCTAAGTTTGAAAAAAAAATTAAAATATAAGACAAATACATGGTATAATTCCATATATTATGAGTACCTAAGTAGTAAAATTCATAGAGGACAGAAAATTAGAATAGTGGTTGCAAGGCTTGGGAAGGGAGGAATGGGAATTCTAGCAGCACTCTGGTCCCTGCTACTTAGGAAGGCTAAGGAGGGAGAATGCTTGAACATTTTTTTTTTTGAGACAGAGTCTGGCTTTGTTGCCCAGGCTAGAGTGTGTGCCGTAGCGTCAGCCTGGCTCACAGCAACCTCAAACTCCTGGGCTCAAGCAATCCTACTGCCTTAGCCTTCCAAGTAGCTGGGACTACAGACCTGCACCATCATGCCCAGCTATTTTTTTCTATATATATATATTAGTTGGCCAATTAATTTCTTTCTATTTTTAGCAGAGATGGGGGTCTCACTCTTGCTCAGGCTGGTTTCAAACTCCTGACCTTGAGCGATCCACTTGCCTCGGCCTCCCAGAGTGCTAGGATTACAGGTGTGAGCCACCACGCTCAGCCTAAACTTGAACTCTCTTAAGTCACCATTATTGCCAAAAAGCTAGGATGTGAACTATAGCTATGAATGAAACTTATTAATAAAATCAGAATGTTACTCCAAAGAAGTCAGTTACAAAAGAATATGTATGATTCTATATAAATAGAATATTTACATATTCTATTTATTCATATTCTATATATAGAATTCTATTTATTCATATTCTATATATTTATACATATTCTATATATAGAATATGTATGACTCTATATAAAGTTCAAAAATAAGAAAAACCAAGCTATATTATTTAGGAATGCATACTTGGTGACAAACTATAAAGCAGGCCAGTAGCTACTTCTAGGAAAAAAGAAGGGACCATGGGGGCTTCTGGTTTGCTGGTAATATTCTACTTTTTCCCTGAGTGGTATTTACAAATATCCACTTTACAATAATTTCCAAGCTGTACTTTTATGATTTTTGGACTTTTCTACATATTTATATGTCATATATATCGTAACAAAAAAGTAAAACTAATAAAAATATTGAGTGCTGATGGTGTAAATTGTTCCCAGTCCCTACAGGATAGCCATAGTTGAAGAGGATTCTTAGGGACTCAGAAGCAGCAATATTTGAGGGTAGATTCCAAGGATCTGCTCTACTCCAGTTACAACTGCCACCCCCACCCCATCCCCTGCTCCCACAGGACTGGAGCAAAGAACCTCACCTGAGAACAAGGCAGGAAGTAGGCCAGTGCCTTCAGAGCCGGGTTCTAGACCAGTGGGACTCCCGACGTGGGTGGAAGCACAAAGCAGTGACACAGCAGAGAAGGCCACAGAAGAGAAGCAGGAAGGAGCCCAAGACCAGCAGCCTGGACCCACATAGAGCCAGTTCCTCCTAGAGGTAGACACAGGGAGGGAAGAGGGAATGATGGAGAGAGGGTGAGTGGGGAATCTTCCCTTGGGAAAACTTCTTACCCCAGCCAAGGGATATAGAGAGGTCTCTATAGGAGGGAGGGAGAGGGTTCTCCATGTCTAGGGCACAACTAAAGGAAAAATGCCATTTTTATACAAGCTAACATTTGTCTTGATGGTTTGCAAACTTGCCCAACCATCAACCTAAACCCCCATAAAGACTCCACAAGATAGAAAAACTCAGCCAATCTCCTCTACCCACCAGCAGTGGAGTGCTTCTCTATCCTCCTTGGGATCCCATAGTGGCCCTCATGGCCTTCAGTGTCAAGTCACGGCATCCTAACCTGGCATTCACATTGCTTCATGGTCAGGCCTCTGCAGTCTCTCCTGACTCTTTTACATCATTCATAAGTCTCTCACCATCGAGTGCTCCCATGGCCTGTGCTCATGCTGGGCCCTTCTCCTGGAAGGCATTCCCCTCTCCTGAACCTCCTGCACTGCACTCCTTACCCTACCCAAACCTTTCTCATTTTTCAATGATCATTTTTTAAAATTTATTTTAAAAATATTTTAATCTTATTTTTAATTTCTTTTTTTGCCTCTAAAGGGAGTTGATACAGTTGTGTTCAAGGATCATCTTGACAGGGCAAAAGGTGTGATTGCAATCCTCCCTCTGCCACATAACCAGCTGGTTTGGCCTTAGGCAGTTCACTCCCTCTCTCTAAACCTGTTTCCTCATCTGTAAAATGGGATAATAACATCTACCTCAAAAGGCTATTTTAAGATCAAATGAGTTAATGAACCTGAAAGCACTTTGTATGTTGTAAACTCCTGTGCACAATTCTCTTTCTTAAATGCCACCTTCTCTATGAAGCACTCTCCATAAATATTCAAGTTAGGGTTAATTGCTCCTTACTCTGTATAACACACTGCTCACATCTCTATGATAGCAATTAGCCCATTCTGCCTCTTATTACAGCTTCTGAATTCCTTTGAGGTAGAGATCATGTTTTATTGTATTTAAAGACAATAGCAAACAGTAACAGCTGTCATTTATCAAATCTCTATTATGTACAGGGCATTTACGGTCATTCTCATTTAATACTTATTTGTTGGAATTAAGAGATAGTATCAGGATTTCTATTTTACAGATGAGGAAACTGAGGCTAAGAGAGGTAAGTACGCTTGCTCTAGGTCATACAGCCTCCAAGATGGGGTTATAAAGCCTGTTGTTTTTTTTTACTAGGTAAAATTGCCTCTAGGAACCTTCAAGACACAGCAGTCAGCATGGCAGTCTATGAAACCCTAATGACCGACTGGAGGCTCTTACCGAGGTGAGCAGCTTGGTGAGCACGAGGCCTTCGTGGCTCCAGACCCTGACACACTCCTCACCCATCCTAGGGCTTAGGGTAACATTTCCTGCTCCCTCCTCTGAGCAGGATATGGGTGGCTGGCTGGAGGGCAGAATTCCTGGAACAGCACTAAAATACAGGCAGATTCCTGGGGTCTTTTCTGTGGTCACCCTGGCTGTGATGAGGACCTGCTGTCCTGCAGAAGATCCTGTAAAAGGTATAGGAGAAGAGACAGAAGAAAATGAGGGGTGGGGCAGGAGCATCCATCTTCAGACTTCTATTCATTTGTAAGGCTTCCTATAATACCAGGTGTTCTGGCATTGATTCTATTCAATAAAGTACTCCATATACCATCATTTATATCACTGAGAAATTAACATAACTGTGTATCAATAACACAAATTAAATTAGCTCACAATCAATACAACAATCATACCAATACTCCCAAGGTTGCAGTGAAATGAGCAGAAAAACATTGCTGTCTTCAGTTTGTATAAACTAGTTTGTTCTTTGTAAGAAAGTGGTTTTCACTAGGTATTGAGACTCAGTAAAAGGTTCACCCTATTTTAAATTAGTGGAGAAAGGATGGCCTATTCAGTAAATTGCCTTGGGACAATTTCCATGTGGAAAAAAATATGTAGATTGTTATCTGATACTATAAAATATAGTCCAGATGTAGAACTACATAAATTAAAAAAAACTTAAGCAAGTATGAAAAGAAAATATAGAAGAATATTTTCTAATTTTAAAGTGAAGAAGGCCTTCCTGTGAAAGACACAAAAACCTAAAAAGCTGAATAAAGGACAAGAGCGATAACCTAACCTGAAAAAGATTAAAGACTTCTATGCAATGAAAGATAAATTAAAAAACCAGGCCGGGCACGGTGGCTCACGCCTGTAATCCTAGCACTCTGGGAGGCCGAGGCGGGCAGATTGCTCGAGGTTGGGAGTTCGAAACCATCCTGAGCGAGACCCCGTCTCTACTAAAAATAGAAAGAATTAATTGACAACTAAAAATATATATACAAAAAATTAGCCGGGCATGGTGGTGCATGCCTGTAGTCCCAGCTACTTGGGAGGCTGAGGCAGGAGGATCGCTTGAGCCCAGGAGTTTGAGGTTGCTGGAGCTAGGCTGACGCCACGGCACTCACTCTAGCCAGGGCAACAAAAGTGAGACTGTCTCAAAAAAAAAACCAAGTAACAGATTGGCTGAAAATACCTATATTTAATTGACAAAACAGTTTACTATCTAAAGACCTTCTAGAAATCAAGAAGAGAAAGACAAATAAAAAATGAACAAGAGGCCGGGCGCGGTGGCTCACGCCTGTAATCCTAGCTCTCTGGGAGCCTGAGGCGGGCGGATTGCTCAAGGTCAGGAGTTCAAAACCAGCCTGAGCAAGAGCAAGACCCGTCTCTCTATAAATAGAAAAGAACTAATTGGCCAACTGATATATATATTAAAAAAAATTAGCCGGGCATGGTGGCGCATGCCTGTAGTCCCAGCTACTCGGGAGGCTGAGGCAGGAGGATCGCTTGAGCCCAGGAGATTGAGGTTGCTGTGAGCTAGGCTGATGCCACGGCACTCACTCTAGCCTGGGCAACAAAGCGAGACTTGTCTCAAAAAAAAAAAAAAAAAAAAATGAACAAGGGAAATGAACAGAGGTAATCCATAGATAACTTGAAAATGTCCCATAAACCCCTAAGAGAGTTAACGTTAGTAGAAATCAGAAAAAGTAAATTAAGACAATTGGATAATTCCTGTGCCTATGAAGTTGGTAAAAATTAAGAAGATTGATAATAACAAAATTGTTGAAGATGTGAGGAAGTGGGCATTCTTACTTGTAGACAGCAATGTGGCTGTATCTATCATAATTTGAAATGGGCAGTGAAAGGGACTGAGAAGATGCCCACCAAACTGTGGACCTCTTTCATATTTGCTTCGTATACATCTACATGGTCTGAATGCACAACAAAATGAATATGTATTCATTTTTTTAAAAAAAGTCCATGCCCTTTGAATCAGTAATATCAACTGTAGAAATTAATCCTAAGGAAAAGATTCAAAAGAAAAATGCAAAGTATACCAAGATGTTTACTGCGATTTCATCAAAAACACCCCCAAATAGCTGGGCACAGTGGCTCACGCCTGTAATCCCAGCACTTTGGGAAGCTGAGGTGGGAGGATCGCTTGAGGCCAGAAGTTTGAGACCAGCCTGAGCACCAAAGTGAGACCCCATTTCTACAAAAAATAAAAAAAAATTAGCCGGGCATGGTGGCATGTGCCTGTAGTCTCAGCTACTCAGGAGGCTGAGGCAGGAGGATCACTTGAGCCCAGGAGTTTGAGGTTGCAGTTGCAGTGAGCTATGATTACACCATTGCACTCTAGCCCAGGCAACAGACCAAAAACCTGTCTTATAAAAAACAAAAACAAATAAAAACAATAGAAATGTTTAATAAGGAAAGCATTAATAATGGCCTAACCACTTAATGGATCAATTTATAGCCATTAAAATAAAATTGAAGACCATGTTAATATGGAAAACCATTTATGTGTAAGTGAAAAAAGAGAAATACAAATTAGTATATACATCATAATTACAACAGAAAAATGTACATGTAAAATTTTGTAAAAGAATTTCTCCCTTTTCTTCCACATTTCCCAGATGGAATCAGTCACCAAATTTTGTCAGTGCCACCCTTCTGACGTCTCTCGCAGGTCATACCACTGTCTTAGCTCAGCTTTTCTCATCACTTCTTTATTCCAACCACCTCCTAACTGGTTTTCCTGTGTCCAGGCACATTCCTTCCAAGCAGTCAGCCACAACATGTGATTTTTCAAAAAAGAGCAATAAAATCCTACTGCTTTCTTGATTAAAATATTTTTTTTTTCTTTTCACTTTCCTTATCTGTATATGATTAAAATCTTTGAGTTTGCCCACTGTACTAGATCAAGTCCAGCTACCTTGGTTGGCACATGAGACCCTCCATAATTTTCTTCCTCCTTCTTCAGATCCATCTCCAGATACTCATTCAACACTTCTTCCCCTGCACCAGCCAAACTGAACGCATGGAAGTTCTTAAACATGCTGTTGTGGTTCCCATCTACATGCCTTTGTGTGTGCTATTCCCTCTGGCCGGAACTGTACACTTCTAAGCATCCTCAAACCTTAGCTTAGGCACAGTATTCTTGGAAAAGCCTGCCTTTACCAGCCCTACTTTACAGACTTTGGGGTACTTCCTCTGTATCTGGTGTTGTATTTTTCACATGTCGAAAGGTATTTACTTTTATTAACATCCGTATCCTTGCTAGACTATGAGCATCTTGAGAGGAGGGCCTGTTTTACAAATCTCTGGATTCCCCATGCCTCGTACATAGTAGGTGCTCAATAACTGTTACATGGATGATGTAGTCATAGGTGATTTTCCCCCTAAAATAATATTTGATGTTACTACTTTATTTCATTTAAAAAGGAAATTTTCTATCATTATAAAAAGGAAAAAGCTTTCTTTGCAGAAGAAATTAACAAGTTGATCCTAAAATTCATATGGAAACTCAAGAGAACTGGAATAGCCAAAAATATCCTGAAAAATAACAAAGTTGGAGGACTTACACTTCCTGGTTTGAAAACTTACTACAAAGCTATAGTAATCAAAACAATGTGCTACTAGCATAAGAACAGACATTTAGATAAATGGAATAGAATTGAGAGTCCAGAAACAAACCCATGCATCTGCAGTCAACTGATTTTCAATAATATTGCCAAGATCATTCAACGTGGAAAGAATAATGTTTTATTTATTTATTTATTTTTGAGACAGAGTCTCGCTCTGTTGCCGGGCTAGAGTGCCGTGGCATCAGCCTAGCTCAACCTCAAACTCCTGGGCTCAAGTGATCCTCCTGCCTCAGCCTCCCGAGTAGCTGGGACTATAGGGATGTGCCACCATGCCTGGCTAATTTTTTCTATATATTTTTTAGTTGGCCAATTAATTTCTTTGTATGTTTTAGTAGAGACGGGGTTTCACTCTTGGTTCAGGCTCCTTTCGAACTGCTGACCTTGAGCGATCTGCCTGCCTCAGCCTCCCAAAGTGCTAGGATTACAGGTGTGAGCCACTGCACCTGGCCAAGAATAATGTTTTAGATAAAAGGTGCTGAGATAACTGGCTAGCCACATGCAAAAGAATAAAGTTGGACCCCATCCTCATACCATACACAAAGAGTAACTAAAAATGGATTATAGACCTAAATGTAAAAGGTAAAACTATAAAATTATTAGAAGAAAACATAGAAGTAAATCTTTGTGACCTTGGGTTAGGCAAAGTCGTCTTAGATATGACACTAAAAGCACAAGAAACAAAAGAAAAAAACAGATAAATTGGACTTCATCAAAATTAAAAAAATTTATGCTTCAAAGAATACCATCAACAAAGTGAAAACACAACTCACAAAATGAGAGAAAAGATCATATAGATATAAATCATATATCAGATAAGGGACCTGTACCTAGAAAACATAATTCTTATAATTCAATAATTAAATGACAAATTACCCAATTTTTAAAATGGGCAAAGACTCTGAATATGTATTTTTCCAAAGAAGATATACAAATGGCACATAAAAAATCATTATCGGCCGGGCACGGTGGCTCACGCCTGTAATCCTAGCACTCTGGGAGGCCGAGGCGGGCGATTGCTCAAGGTCAGGAGTGTCAAAACCAGCCTGAGCGAGGACCCCGTCTCTACCATAAAAATAGAAAGAATTTAATTGGCCAACTAAAATAATAATATAAAAATCAGGCGGGCATGGTGGCCTCATGCTTGAGTCCCAGCTACGCGGGAGGCTGAGGCGCAGGATCGCTTGAGCCCAGGAGTTGAGGTTGCTGTGAGCTAGGCTGACACCACGGCACTCACCTAGCCTAGCAAGAAAGCGAGACTCTGTCTCAAAAAAAAAAAATCATTATCAATCTCACTAGCCATCAGGAAAATGCAAATCACAACTACAGTGAGACACAACTTCACAATAATTAGGATGGCTATAATAAAAAAGATAGATAATAACAAGTGTTGGTGAGGATATATACAAAATGGAAATCTCATTCTGGTGGGAATATAAAATTATATAGCTGCTTTGGAAAACAGTTTGGGCCAGATGTGGTGGCTCACACCTGTAATCCTAGCACTCTGGGAGGTCGAGAGAGGATTGCTTGACCTCAGGAGTTCGAGACCAGCCTGAGCAAGAGTGAGATCCCCATTACTACTAAAAATAGAAAAAATTAGCCAGGCATGGTGGCATGTGCCTATAGTCCCAGCTACTCGGGAGGCTGAGACAGGAAGATTGCTTCAGCCCAGGAGTTGGAGGTTGCTGTGAGCTAGGCTGATGCCATGGCACTCTAGCCTGGGCAACAGAGTGAGACTCTGTCTCAAAAAATAAAAATAAAAAAAATAAAATGGGAATATTCATATAATGAATGTTATTCAGCATTAAAAAAACTAAAATACTGATACATGCTACAACATGGATGAACCTTAAAAACATTATGCCAGCCGGGTGCGGTGGCTCACGCCTGTAATCCTAGCACTCTGGAATTGCTCGAGGTCAGGAGTTCGAAACCAGCCTGAGCAAAAGCGAGACCCCATCTCTACTATCAATAGAAAGAAACTAATTGGCCAACTAATATATATAGAAAAAATTAGCCGGGCATGGTGGCATATGCCTGTAGTCCCAGCTACTCGGGAGGCTGAGGCAGGAGGATCACCTGAGCCCAGGAGTTTGAGGTTGCTGTGAGCCAGGCTGACGCCACGGCACTCACTCTAGCCTGGGCAACAAAGCAAGACTCTGTCTCAAAAAAAACAAAAAAAACCAAAAAAAAAACATTATGCCAAATGAAACAAGCCAATCACAAAAGACCACATATTATATGAAATATCCAGACTAAGCAAACCTACAGAGACAGAAAGTAGGGCTGGGCGTGGTGGCTCATGCCTGTAATCCTAGCACTCTGGGAGGCCAAGGCGGGCCGATTGCTCAAGGTCAGGAGTTTGAAACCAGCCTGAGCAAGAGTGAGACCCCGTCTCTACTATAAATAGAAAGAAATTAATTGGCCAACTAATATATATAGAAAAAATTAGCCGGGCATGGTGGCGCATGCCTGTAGTCCCAGCTACTTGGAAGGTTGAGGCTGAGGCAGAAGGATCGCTTGAACCCAGGAATTTGAGGTTGCTGTGAGCCAGGCTGACGCCCACAGCACCTCACTCTAGCCTGGCAACAAAGCAAGACTCTGTCTCAAAAAAAAAAAAAAAAAAAGAAAGTAGATTAGTGGTTGCCTAGGACTAGGAGATTTGTAGGGGAAGGGGAGTGGCTGCTAATGGGAACAAGGTTTCTTTTGGGGGTGATGAAAATGTTCTAAAACTTATTGTGGTTACGGCTGTACACTTTTGTGAACGTACTAAAAGCCATTCATTCAGTCATTTTTAGAGACAGGCTCTGTCTCCCAGGCTGGAATGTGGTGGTAGGATCATAGCTCACTGCAGCTTTGAATTCCTGTGCTCAAGCAATCTTCCTGCCTCAGCCTCCCAAGTAGCTAGAACTATAGATGTGAGCCACCACATCTGACTAATTTTAAAATTTTTTGTAGAAATAGGGTTCTCACTTTGTTACTCAGGCTGCTCTCACAGTCCCAGGCTCAAGCGATCCTCTCCCCTCAGCCTCCCAAACTGCTGGGATTATAGGCATAAGCCACATGCCCAGCCTATTTGTATACTTTAAATGGGCAAATTATACAGTATGTTAATCATATCTCAATAAAACTGTTATATTTTTTTAAGTAAAAAGAATAGGAAAAATTGTCCCAAGTCTATATATATCAGACACATTCTTTATTCTGTTCTTTGTTTATATACATATACACCTGGACATAAATAGATACACCTCTCAACACATACACAGAATCTTAGAAAGACAGTATTGGAAAGGACCTCAGAAGTCAGAAAATTCTACTTTCTCTCCTCCCTTCTCATCTCCCCAGTTTTCAGATAAGGAATCTGAGGCCAAATGTCACACAGGGATTAATGGTACCCACTGACTCTCTCTCTCACACACACACACTTGTCATTTTCCTAGAAGACTATAAGCTCTTTGGAAATTGATGGTGTCTTATTTTTTTCTGTATCCTCCATAGTGCACAGAGAGCTATACTACGCATGTAGCAGGCAGTTAAGACACTGGTTTGATTGAACAGAACATGTTTCTCTGAAATCCCTGAGGAAAAAGAAGGTACCTCTAAGAGCAGACAGCCATAGGCATGAGAAAGAACACTGGGTCAAACCTAGCCCATCTCATCACACCTCCAAGGACAGATTCAACCTCAAGACTAGAAGGGAAAAAGGAAAACATTAATAGAGAACCTTCACTGTGGCAGCATGTTCACTATAAATACCTAGTCCTTGTTATAGCAGAACTGACTCAGAGATGTATCCAAGGTTACCAGGTTGGTGAGGTCAGAGGCAGGGCCTAGCCTTGAGTGTTCTGATGCCAGACCCCACAGTTCCCCCTGATCTCACCTTTCAATCCCATCTGACTACCCAGGATCTTGGTTTGGAATGTCTGTGTCTTGTTCCTGTCTGGACCTTCTGCGAAGTTCAAGGTGGTCAGTAAGCCCACGACGTGAGACCCTTGCCACTTCCCTGTGACTGTCCCATTCACAGGGCACAGGGTCAGCTGGCCAAAAGATCTCAAGAAGGAGACCCAGTCCTGCATGCAAAAGGAGGGTGGGAGAGGTCAGATGAGATTAGCAGCAAGAGCAGGTCTACACGGGAAGGATGAACAGGAGGGCACTTACCTGAGGGATGTCAGGGCTGCGCAGGCCAGTCCTGTGGGTGCGGAGGAAGCTGCCAAGGCCCAGGCCGGAGAGGCCAAGCAGCAGCAGGATCAAGGTGGCACAGACCAGAGGTGGGTGGTGGGCCAGACACAGATGCAGGTTGTGCCCCGCCTGGCAGTCACCCATGAGGAAGAGAGGTGTCTGGGCCTCCACAGAGAGCCTGTTGGAGGACAGGGATGGAGAACTGGACAAGAGCCTGCTGGTGAGAAGGCACTCACCGATTTTATGGAAAGGGAAGCTAAAGCTCTGGGAAGATAAGGGACTTGCCCAAGGCCGCACAGTTAGTGGCAGAACCAGGACAAGAATCTAAGCCTATTGACTCCAACAGTTTATCTCCCTGCATCATTCAATAAATGTTTGTTGCATTTCATTTCTGAACTAATCAAAGCAGAAGCAGAGCAGAGCTCTCTATGATGGAAAAAGGAACCCAAAAAGTAGAATTCTTAGCTGGAGAAATAGGAAGCTGCTGTTCTGGGGCTAGGTAATTAGCTGAAGAACAGTTCCAGCCGGAGCCCACACAACGGAAGTGTCTGCTGAAGAACTCAGCTTCAGAGCTAAATGGCTAGGTCTGAATCCCTCTCTGCTACTCACTGGCTATGTAAAACCAAGTCAGGCAACCTCTCTGTGAGCTTAAGAATCTGTGAAATGGGAGTTCTAAGAACACCAAGTAATGAGGATTAAATGTGGCAGATAAAGCAGTCTGCATGGTATTCGGCGGTGCAGGAACTCAACAAATGTCCCACTTCCTTTCTCCTTCTCTGTGTCATAATGATCCTCAAAACCAGATGAGGCCAGGCAAAAGCACCGTGGGGGAAACTGAGGCTCGCGGACTTTAACATAGCAGTGGTAGAGCCAAGGTCTGAAATCCTCCTCCTGCTTCCAAGTGGGGTGCTCTCTCCCACGCAAGAAGCGACAGCCTGATGAAAGAGTATCTGGAAGGTGAAGAGATAAACAGGAGGTGGGGGAAGAAGGGGGAGCCACAGAGATGAAGGTGTCACAAGTGCTCAGCCCCTGTCCCGCCTCCCATCCCTGCACTGCTGGAAGCGGGGGAAAGAGGGGGTAGGGCAGAGCCTGAGGGCCAGCGGCTGGTGGAGCACCTGAGCCTCCCCTCCCCCGCCAAGTCCCCTTCCTGAAGGATCGCAGCACCCTCATCCCGTCCCCGTCTAGCGCGTCGGGTCCGCCCGCAGCTCTCACCGCTCGGAGCCGGGCGGAGGCCGGCGCCCCCCGCGACGTCACGCGTGGAGCCGCGAAGGGGCGGGGTCCGTGCTTCGCGCTCCCCCCCAGTACAGCCCCACGGCGGGGGTCCGCATGCGCAGTGGCCACGCGTGCGCCCGCCTGGCGTCTCCGAGCGGGGTGGGGGCGTACCAAAAGGAAATCCGACTAGGGGACTGAGGGGACGAAGTGACTCCGCGGGAAGTGAGGAAACCGGAGCGAGGCAAGGCAGCGAATGCTAGAGACGTAGTAGAGTCCGGAAATCTCCTCTTGGAGAGACTGTGGGAGAATTCCAACGAGGATCTCGTCGCAGGCATTTCTCTGTTGCACGTCCCCACCCGCGCCAATAGCATAGCCCAGCCGCGCCCAGGTTCCGGGTAAGGACTGGGGGTTCGCTCAGTGTGGTAGGGGCGCAGCTCTAGGACTCTGTTCTTCCGGGCTGGGACTGGTGTGTGGGCCCCAGTCTTCTGTGTACCCCGATAACAGTTAACGTCTGCACCTCACGCAGGGCCTGTGCCTTTTAGTGACTCCGTAATGCGTAGGATGCCAGCGTTGCAAGGCTGCTCAAAGAGACCATCTCATTTCACTTCTGCCCACATTTTAGAGATGACAACATCTTACCTGAAATAGTACGACTGACACATGCAACCAGGAACTCTGGGTTCAAATGCTGACTCTGTCCGTGCCCCAGCATAAGCCATAACCGTGCTCTCCCGGCTATGTTTACTCCTCCGCTAAAGGAGATCGTCCTACCTATCTATCTCACTGGTTGGATTGGAAGCTCAAGAGGCAAGAGTGTGGGAAAACATGGGCCTGGTGGCCACTGAGCACACACCAGCACTGGGTGAATGCTGCTTGAAACGGAATCTGAGTATTTAAATTGACTTTGGCTTCCTTAAGGCAGAGACTATCATTTCTGTACCACCATCCGCAAAAGTTATGGCACAAAAACCTCACATAAATGGTCACGTGATTTTTTATAAAGATGCCATGGTCATTTAGTGGGGAAAAGACAGTCTTCTATGTGCATTAAAGGACACTAAGAACAGAGTGAAAAGGCAGCCTACAGAATGGAAGGAAATATTTGAAATCTTACCTCTGATAAAGGGTTACTATCTAAAATATATAAACTCTTACAATGAAACAACAAAAAAAACAAGCAATCCAATTAAAAAATGGATAAAGGACTTGAATAGCCATTTCTTCTAAGAAGATATACTGTACAAATAACCAAAAAGCACATGAAAAAGATGCTTAACATCATTAATCATTAGAGAAATGCTAATCAAAACCACAGTGAAATACCACCTTGTACCCATTAGGATGGCTGCTATCAAAAAATCAAAATATGTTTTGATGATGATGTGGAGAAATCAGAACCCTTGTGCACTGTTGGTGGGAATATAATATGGTACAGCTGCTATGGAAAACAGTATGGCAGTTCCTAAAAAAAATAAAAATAGAATTACCATATGATTCAGCAGTTCCACTTTTGGGTGTATACCCAAAAGAATCGAAAGCAGGGGCTTGAAGAGATATTTGGGCACCCATGTTCATAGCAGCATTATTCACAAGAGCCAAAGGTTGAAGCAATCCAAGTGTCTACCAGTGGATGAATAAACAAAATGTGGTATACACAACATAAAAGGGAATATTATTCAGCCTTTCAAAGGAAGGAAATTTTAACACATGCTACACCATAGATGAACCTTGAGGACATTATGCTAAGTGAAAAAAAAATTAAAATAAAGACAAATACAGTATAATTCCATATATATGAGGTACCTAGAGTAGTAAAATTCATAGAGACAGAAAATAGAATAGTGGTTGCAAGGGGCTGGGGAAGGGAGAATGGGGAATTCTAGCAGCACTCTGGTCCCTGCTACTAGGAAGGCTAAGGAGGGAGGAATGCTTGAACCCAGGAGTTGGAGACCAGCCTGGGTGATATAGTGAGACCCGGTCTCAAAAAAAAAAAAAAAAGTTCAGAGTTTTAGTTTTGCAGGATAAAACAGTTCTGAAAATGGTGATGATGGTTGTACAACCAAGTACTTAATACTACTGAACTGCACACTTAAAATAGTTAAGATGGTACATTTAATGTTATATGCATTTTATTACAATTAAAAATAATAATTAGGGCGGGCACTGTGGCTCACACCTGTAATCCAAGCACTTTAGGAGGCTGAGGTGGGAGGATTACTTGAGCCCAGGAGTTTGAATCTCTAGTAAACTGTGATCATGCCACTGCACCCCAGCCTGGGCAAAAGTGTGAGACTCTATCTCTAAAAAAATATATAATAATAATTTTTTAAAAACCACAGGTAGAAAAAGTTTATGACATAGTCTCCTATGGTATAGTGGGTACTTTATAAATATCATTGATTGGCTTAGTTGACATTCTAAGGATAGAACATATTTTCTTCTCAAGGGGAGAATGTGGCTGATAGAGAATCTTACAATCTAAGAAGGCATTTAATAACTGAGCAAGTTTAATAACACCCCTATCCCCTTATTTTTCAGATGCTAAACCGAGGTCTGCAGAGGTTAAAGGATATATTCCAAGTTATCCAACCAGTTAAGCCTCAGCCAGAACTTAAGCCCAAGCTTCCCAGCACAGATTCCAGTCTCTTTCTTACTAAATCCTCCCTGCTTAGTCCTGCCAAGAGATCTCTCCTGACCACCTACAAAAGTTTCTGTCCATGCACTCCCCATTCATACCCAGCCCAGCCTGGGCCAACTAGGCAACCTTTCCCTAATCTAGTCTAGTCTCCTCACTCAGGTCCTCAGCTCCTGGACTAGGATGACCTTGCAAGCCCCAGGTCTTTTCATAGTTTAAACACACAGTATCCACTCAATAAGTATTTGTTGGTTAAGTTCCCCTGAGAACTCGCCAACTTGCAGTCTCATGTTAAAGTTGGGAACACATCTGCTCATGCTTAAACATTTGGGAAGTTTAGGTTAAAACCTAAAAACAAAGTTTATTTGGTCAAGTATTTTCTTAATGCCTGCTATGATTCAGGCACAAAATCAATATCCATGTGGCAAAAACTTTGTCGATGCTTCTATTTAATGACAGGTTTAATTTGTAGGGTAAGATACAGCATGAAAGTGCCCAGCATAGTGCTGGTATACAATAGGAAGCCAACAAGTGTGAATTTTCCCTCATTATTCTTGTAAGTAGGATGTAATTAGGCATATTTGAACAGCAGTTCTTGTAAATGACCATAATTGGTATTTACTTATATGGCCAAACCAAGCAATTCTACGGACTAGTGGAGGCAAGCTGGTTAGAGCAAGGAAGTGCCTTGAGGCCTGAGAATCAGGGTAAATGGATGCGAACAAATGTCTTGGAAAAGAAAGTGGTGGTGGGGAGCAGGAGAGGACACAATTAGTTGTGCACTATAATGCTCCAACACCATACCAACATTTTGACTTAATCCACTCAACAGGCCCTCACCGTGGATGTTATTGTGGAAACCTGGTCCTTAGCTTAAATAATTTAAGGTCATACACATAGTATGTGGGAGATGTTGGATTTATGAGAATCAGAAAGCCAGTTTAGAAGAGAATCACCCAGTCCCTTGAAAGAAATCAAGGGAGGAATTCTTTGATCATCCCACGGTGATAAATTCCTTTCAGAATTCTGGCCCAGGTAAAGCTCCCAGAGATCTGTTTGATTTTTCTCCTTCTAGATTATTGAGTCTTAAAACTTTTGGGGGTTACAGACTCCTTTGAGGATCTGATGAAAGCTTTTCATCCAATCGGTCAGATACTCATTCAATAAACATCTATTAGCTGCCAGGCTCTATTCTGTGGGCTGGGTGTACAGTGATGAACAAAGTATTCATGATCCCTGGTCTCCTGGAACTACAATCTGGCTATGGACTCTCTCCCTAGAAAAATGCATGTTCACCTAAACTTTTTCATGCAGTTTCAATCAGTGGAAAGTTAGTCCTCTTGGATCCCATTCTTGAACAAGAACCCAATAGAGATATTAAACATCTATAATAAGTACCCCAATCTAGACATAAAACTGGCCGGGCTCAGTGGCTTATGTCTACAATCCCAGCACTTTGGGAGGCTGAGGTGGGGAGATCATTTGAAGCCAAGAGTTTCAAACCAGACCAGACTGGGCAACATAGTAATACCCCCTTCTATAAAAAGAGAGCCACAAAAAACTTCCTGCGCTCCAAGAACATCCCTCACTCCCCTTTCCAGTTAGTCACTGCCTACCCCATACATAGGCAACCACTATTCTATCACCAAATAGTTAAATTTTTTCTTTAAAATGTCTAATTTCTCTTACTAGAGTATAAGTTTTTTTAGAGGAGACTTGCCTCATTCTTTTTTTCTTAGTTTTAAAAAATTGTGTTAGAAAACACATAAATATGTAATATGAAATTTGCCATTTTTAACTATTTTTAAGTACAAATTTGAATGATAACCATTATATTCACAATTTTGTGCAACTATCATCGCTATTTACAAAACTTTTTCATCACCCCAACCAGAAATTCTGTAACTGTAAACTAATAACTAACTCTCCATTCCTCCTTGACCTAGACCCTAGTAACTTCTTATCTGCTTTCTGTCTCTATGAATCTGCCTACATATTTGATATAAGTGGAATCATAAAATATTTGTCTATTTGTGTCTGGCTGATTTCACTTAGCATAATGTTTTCAAGATTCATCCATGTTGTGGCATGCATCAGAACTTCATTCCTTTTTATGGCCAAATAATATTCTGTTATATGGATATACCACATGTTGTTTATCCATTCATCTTTGAACACTGTGTATAAGTATCTGTTTGAGTCCCTGTTTTCAAATCTTTTGGGTAGATGCCAGGGATTACTGGGTCATATGGTAATACTATGTTTATGTTTAGCTTTTTTATAAACTGCCAAATTGTTTTCCACAGTGGCCGCACCATTTTACATTCCCACCAGCAATGTACAAGAGTTCCAATTTTTCCACATCTTCACCAGCAGTTATCTTTTAAATAATAGTCATCCTAGTGCATTGGAAATCATAGCTCATTGTGGTTTGCATTTGCATTTCCCTAATGACTAAAGATGTTGAAAATTTGTATGTGCTTACATTATTTGTA